CAGCTGGCTGGGGAATTCTGGGAGTTGAAGTCCACCCATCTTAACATTGCCAAGGTTGAGGAACCCCGCACTGTACCACATCATCTTTCCCTCACTGTTTCTCAGTGTTGATCTTTTCTAGCCACATATTATCACTGGAAAGGCCATTCTGGCCCAGTCTGCCCAATACGGTTCTAAAAGTCTGGTGGAAAGGCAACCTCACTTTTAGGACAAAGAATTGTGGAAATGAAGCAGTTCTCTGTGATGCGTCCGTGAGTTTTTGCATCACCACGTTGGCATCCTTTCTTCTTCGGGGCACATTGCAAGAAGGAAATTCTTTTCTTCCAATTGCAAAGGGTGTGGGAAGCAGCCCTAAACTGTAGCTAGCGCAAACCTTATCCAATAATCTCTCCTCTGAGGTTTCATGGGTTAATAGACCACGCTGCTAAGGGCACCCTTGGGTGTCTGCATTAGTGTATATAAAGGTCATTTACTCCTGGGTTCCTTTTATATTGCCTGAAGGAACCTTGGGAATCGTTCTTTTGTTGACTCCTGGCAACTGCCTGGACCAGTCCCCAAAGTTTTCTTGGCAAGATTTCAGAAGTGGTTTGCCATTGTTTCCTTCCTAGGGCTGAGAGAGAGTGACTGGCCCAAGGTCACCCAGCTGGCTTCGCACCTAAGGCAGGACTAGAACTCACAGTCTCCTGGTTTCTAGCCTGGGGCCTTCATCACAGCACCAGACAGGCTCTCCTAAGTTAATTTAAGGATTAGATTTTCCCCTTTCTGTTTTTCCCAGCCTTCAGTGACCTACAGAAAGTTGATGGTTCTGTGTCATTGTTTTCTTCTAGGAGATAGGAAGCTCTTCGTGGGCATGTTGAATAAACAGCAGTCTGAAGAAGACATTCTCTGCCTCTTTGAGCCTTTTGGGGTCATCGATGAATGCACAGTGCTTAGAGGTCCAGATGGCAACAGCAAAGGTCAGTTTGATGTCTTCGATCCCGCTGCAGCTGGGACCAGTGGCTTGCCCCAGGCCCACGCTGATCGCATTGGCATGATGGAAGTAGTGTCCTGCCGTTGTGTGTCAGCTTTGTCACTTTAGGGCGTGTGTACAGTCCTGCAACAACACAGAAAAGGAGTGAGGTTTGCATTGCAATGGTGCGAAGTTCCTTTTATCAGCCTGTCTTCCCCTGCCCCCCCCCCCCCCATTAGATGCCATTTCCTGGGAGCAACTTAATTTGCTTCTGTCTACACTGCAAATCCGATCCCTTTTCAAAGTGGTTTAATTCTCAAGCCATCTAGGATGATTGGGCATTGGGATTGTCCATCAAAGCATGACCATTCATGGCACCTCCTCCCAGTTTATGTTCTGGGGGCGGGTGGGGAAGACTGAGGAGTGGGGGATCTGGGATATTGAGTGGAGGGAGGGCTTAGAGGGACCGCAGGGTCTAACCCCAGGAAAACCTCCCTTGGTCAGAGCTGCTGGTCTATGAATATTTAGTAAGGGTTAGCAACATTATTGTTGTTATTTGCATAGTCAGCCAGATGTTTAGACTGGATTTGGCATTTTGATCCACCGATCGAGTCCTTCCCAAGGACCTGGGATAGGGAGATGTTGGTGTCTGATGGGGTTAAAGGGATCGTCGCAGGATGGAAGCTGTTCCAAGTCAAGCTGCCTTTTGCAATTGACTGACGGTGATTTTGCCAATGCCGAGGGTCTCCAGATGTTTTGGGCTGGCACCCAAGGTGCCTGTGACTATTGGGACTCTCTTTGCTTTCTTTTGCCACAGTTGTTCTGCTTCTGTTATTATTGTTGCTGTTGGTCACAGAGTCAGCCAGATGTTTAGACTGGATTTGGCATTTTTATATGTTATTATTATTAGTATTATTACATTCTAATATTAAGCAACTCTGTTTACAACCCCTTTTAAGTTATTGGATCAGCCTTCATTTTTCTGTTTGTTAACCAAGTGACTGTGCTGTCCTGTATCTTCCCCATATTTCAGCTAGTCACGTTACTTCAGAGACATAAAGGGATGAAGGAGGAAAAGAAAACAATTTCTAAATCCAGAAAAAGGTTACTGGAGGCAGCAAGACTAACAGATCCTTCAGAAACCTTGCAGAATTCATGGGCTATGTTTTTCTATTCTCCTTAACTCAGAGGTTCCTGGTTCAGCCCTTCCAACAATTCCCAAGGCTACTTTGTTGGAGACGGAGAAAATTAAACAGGTCTGAAATTGGTGTGAAGTGTTGGCCTCACCCCAAGCACAGCCGTTTTCAAGGTCTCACCTCTTGGCCACCAAATGGCTTATTTCATTTTGCAGTTGCACAGGAATAATCCATAATCAGATGTGATTGGTGGGGCAGCCAATTGCCGAGTGACTTCTCTTTCTATGCTTAAAACGATATTGCATAATGATAACTCTTACGGGTGATTAAAAACAACAACCCCTCTTTTCTTTGAGTTTTACTTGAAGCACATAGATTTGCACTCAGGTGTTCCACATTCTACTCTGTGGTTGTTTCGAGTGTGGAAACAGTGAGCTTATTGAAAAATAAAGATGGTTCTTTTTATGGGTACATGACCCATCCAGAAAAGGGGCGAGGCTTTGATTGCACAGTTGTGGCTGCCATTTTGACTTTTTTGACCCCTGTTGCCTCTCATGTCCCACCATGGCCCCTCTCTGCTCTCACATTGGGAAGGTGTACAAAAGTGCAGAGGGAAAATTCTTGCCAAGTCAAAGTGCACAGGGAGATTTGGGATCCTCTTCCGCTTTTTCATTTGCTGCTTCTCTGTCTTAATCCTTGTTTAATTCTGTCCCTTTCCAGGTTGTGCCTTTGTTAAATTTTCCTCGCACAACGAGGCCCAAGCAGCGATCCATGCTCTCCACGGCAGCCAAACCATGCCCGTGAGTAAAAATCCAAGGTGTTGTCACAAGTCAGAGAAGGGAAATTGGCGTGCCAGATGGATCGTTTAGCCTCTCTGCCATCTGGGAGAATTGAAATTGGACAGTGGCAAACATCCAGCTAGGGAGCTGAGTGGGATCGTGGCCGCAACGTAGGAACCGTGCTTGCTTCTTTTAAAATATTTTTTATTAAAAGATGTTACATAGATAATAAGAAATACATTCAAAGAAAAGAAAAATACATCATAAATGTGAAAAAAGAAAAAAAGGAAAAGAAGAAGAGAAAGGAAGATAAAGGGAAAAAAGAAAAGAAAAGAACAGAACAGAACAGAACAGAAATCTATCTATCTATCTATCTATCTATCTATCTATCTATCTATCTATCTATCTATCTATCTATCTAT